TTCAAAAACTCTAAGCGATGTAATTTTGTCAATTATTTAATAATTATCTGCCATAAGTTGTTATTTGCAGCGAGTGAAGATCTATTATATATTATAAAAGTATAAAAAATGATTTATCATAAAAACAAATTGAATTGAAGAAAATCTTACATTCATTTGGCTGATATTGCCTGGCCGTCGAAAGAGATCACTAATGTATACACCTTGCCTTGCAAGGAAGGCGAAGAGCGTGAATACGGGTTCAGGAATGCTGGTTTCTCTTTGCTGGATTTCCACTGTTTCATTGCACCTCGGAGGTTCAAACATGCGTTTTCCTTCAAACATACCTAGTTGTAGTAATTCAGTTAGGGACAAAATTCTTCCTCCATCATCTTCCTTCTCGTGCTCAATAAGGGACTGTTCTCTTCTCATTTGAAATTTTGACTACAAATAAAGTTAAAGGTGGGAAAATAATATTTAGGATATCAGCTTTGAATATTGTGCTGTAGTATATAGAAAAGTGTTTATATTGATTTTAATAGGAACAAACATATGACACTTGAAATTTTTTATTCACTCGATGTTGATGATAAGTACATATTGCTAAAATGGAGAAGTTTTAAAGGTCATTAAACTGATTGTCCAATTTTAAGATGAGCTTACCGCCTGAATATGTAATATGTGAGTCGAAAATAGAATATGATACTTCCCGTTTTATTCTTTTTCTACATTTAATATATCTCTTATTTTATTCAGTTGAACATCCTCTCTCTGCCTAATTCAATAGTCATTTAACTTCAAATTTCTCGATTTATCCATCCGGCTTCCAAACGGAAACAAATAATTTGAGAAGTTTATAAACTTGTTTAAGTTAAGTCAAGAATTACTATTAATATTCAAAACTGACTATTTATTAGTGCCCTAGAATATTAATTTTTCCCAAAAATTGTTTTGAAATGAATAAAAACTAGAATACACTTAAAAAAGGATTTTTCATTTGTTGATTCAGTCTGTAATTTTCAATATACTATAAATAAGTGCTATTTGTAAAATATATTAAAACTTCCAAGATTAATTTATTTGCATTTATAGAAGTCTATTTTTTAGTTTTTATGAATAGAAGAAAATTTGCGCTCATAATTAACTCTGCTTGTTTTAAGAAAATACGAATATTTCCGTAATAGTTTATTAAATTAAGATGTTTGCCAAATTAAGGTCAGACTTTGCAATGACGTAAGAACCAACCCCTTGAATTTGTTTTTGAGAGCATCTGTTCAGATCTTAGAAATAACGCAAACGAGAGCTATTTTAAATGGAATCAAATTCTTCGTCTCGAACGTGAAATTGCGTGTAAATCCATAAATCAAATTACGCATTAGTGCTACCAAATCGTTATTAAGTTTCTGACTTCTAGCTGCGTTGACAATATTTATCAATAATTCATTTCATTCATTATGTTAAAGTACCAAATGATGAAAATCTGCATTTTAATAGAGTCTGCTTACGTGATGCTAAATTCGTGAAATAAAACCCTTAAAAGTTTAGGAAAATTACAGACTCGTTAAATCACTTTCATTATCTAAATACACAACTAACAAATTTTAAAGAAATTTATTATAGAGTTTGTTAAATATAAAACTGCAAACTTTTATAAACTCGTGAGCACTTATTAAAATGAGTGGTGAAAAACCGCGGAATATTGTTATATTTTGTCTTTATCAATGTAGAAAGTATAAATTTTTCCCACTTCTTTAAGCACTGCAAAAATTTAAATTATTCAGGGCAATATTTTTCTCCGAACAAATGAATTGTGCCGCTAATATAAACTAGCCTTTTTGACAGTCCTATTTCTAAGCATTGCAACTTTGGATGAAAATTCAATTTTTTATTATTTCAAATGGCAGGCTTTATGATATTTATCATTAGCCCTTAATCTTTGACTTCAGCTTCCTCCAAGAGGGGGGGGGGAGGGGGGGGATTTATAAAGTTCGAGAAAAAGGGGGAGATAGCAAATCGTCTATGAAGATCACCCTAAATGTAGGCATATTTGCTTAGTCATCGCATGTCAGTGGAGAAAGGAAATCCCTAATCAAATGTAGAGTTATTCAAATTTTAAGACAATATTAATTGATATATGACCGAATGACAATGATTTTGAGCATGAATATAGTAATTTCTTGCTTCAAACATTTTTTGTAGTGCTCATAACAGTAAGTCATTTGATAATGAAATCCAGCTTTTATTAATTGGCAAACTCTCTAATTTCACACATGCTCCCATTGTTTAAATAGTGCTCGCAATTGCATTATACGGCCAATTACATGTATTCCTTGTGTTTAGTAACTAAGGGATACTCAAAGTACTTTTTGACGTTTCTCCTAGGAAATAATTCACCATTACTGATGATAGCAGCAGTTTGGTTGATTGGAATTAAAATTTCACGGTACGTTTCGATAGGAAATACTTTACCATTCATTATTATGACTGACCAGTTTCGGGAACTTGAATGCTACGGTAGGCGAAACTTCCACCAGTCATGTGGTCTCTAAATCGTGCTTCCCTCGGCAAGTCAATCAAACCCTTATGGAGGCAGAATCAAGTAACCTTTCCCAAATGTTATTTTTTCTGCCAGCGGTCTTTATCAAATCTATATTACGAAATGCCAAGTGTAATCTCACTCCGAATTATTTCAGGTTTTTATTAAAATACGGCTGAACTCCTGCCCCGGGTCTTATCATCAATTACTGCAGCATATTACTACATCTACCTCTCCTACATTTCCGACTCATCCAACCTGCTTCTAATTTCGGCGCCTCATCTGCCTGATGTTAATGCAGCTCACTCTCTTCTCCTTTGATTTATGTCATCGTCTTAGTCTTTTCCGCTCAACATTCAAAGTTCCTAATACGCTCTTCTTGCAGCTGGTAACCCGCCAGAACTACCTTCCACAAACTTTAATAATAATGTCTTCTTTTATGGATTGAAGCAAAATGCTTACAGTGTTCAGTATTCAAGAGATAAAACCTAGATGTCCTTGAGAATTGGGTCACCTTAAGTCACTTTTTTTCTCGAACCATGTAGAACGATTCTGTCTGCGGCATAGTTACCATTAAAACCAGTTTCAACTAGGTTATTCAAGTAGATGAAATATGGGGGGAGAGAGAGAGAGAGAGAATGAACGATAGCATGAATTATTAAAGTGGCTCAAAAGATGCACTCAAAAATTAGGAGGTAGAGGTAACTCATAATTAGCCTCAATCAGATATTTATGTAAATGTAAAACAGAGATTAAGTGCGGACACTGAAATGGGTTAAATATTCAAATGCCACAAAGATAATTTTACTATTTATTAATGACATTTGATGCAAAAGGTATAAATTAACACGAAAAGATGTTATTTCCCCCCTTTTTTATAAATAGCCCCTTGACTGTGAAGAAATCGGATTAAAGGCATGAGTGCTAACTTTTTCTCATTAACCTAACTGACAAACAGAGGTCACTGGATCAATTCTCATTGGTGGATGGGCGGTCACAATAATAATTTTTTGGTTACCAATAGGGAGATGTGGAGGGTGTGAATTTCACATAATGGAGGCTTAAGAATATCTACCCTCTAACAAACTCTCTTAAAGTATGCATTTTTCTTATTTATTCTCAGTTTAAAAGCAATTCTGGCGTTTGACATATGATAATGCAACATTTTTCTATCTATTATCTATTAAAGTAATCACCTTATCCCAAAGACAATTGTAAATTTCACAAACTTTGCGCCGAAAAATTGCCCCTTGGGTCGCGTTTATCTAAATTTATTTCAAATTGTTACCTTACCGGCATGATTAAAAAAATGGAAATAGTAACTTACTTCCGCTCACCTTGTTTATATTAGC